TCATTTCACTTCTCGTTCGTACTTTCTCATGGAATCAGAGCAGGTCCCTTCCTAGGCCTGTTCCTAGGGCCCACGAAGCGCGCCCCGAGGCGCGCATTTTTTTTTTAGCGACCCCCGAGTCGCCCCTCCCCGTCGTGCTCCCTCTATGGCCCCTCGTCGGCCCCCGCTTAGGCCCCTCGTCGGCCCCGCTTAGGCCCCTCGTCGCCCCGCTTAGGCCCCTCGTCGCCCCGCTTAGGCCCCTCGTCGCCCTTGCTTAGGCCCCTCGTCGGCCCCGCGTACCCCTCGTCGCCCCGCGTAGGCCCCACGTACCCCTCGTCGGCCCGCGTACCCTCGTCGGCCCCGCGTACCCCTCGTCGGCCCCGCGTAGGCCCGCTACCCCTCGTCGGCCCCACGTAGGCCCCGCGTAGGCCCCGCGTAACCCCTCGTCGGCCCGCGTAGGCCGCGTACCCCTCGTCGACCCCGCGTACCCTCGTCGGCCCCGCGTATGCCCCGCCCAGGCCCCGTCTCGGCCCGCGTGTCGGCCCCAGCGTAGGCTCCGTCGGCCCCGCTTAGGCCCCTCTTCGGCCCCGCGCCGGCCCCACCTACGCCCTGTCGGCCCCGCGCTGGCCCCGCTTAGGCCCGCCACCGGCCCCTGCTACAAGCCCGCCGCGTCGGCCCCGCCTACAGCCCGCCGGCCCGCCTAGGCCCCACTTCGGCCCCTCGTCGGCCCCTCTACAGCCCGCACCGGGCCCCTGCTACAGCCCGCCACCGCCCCTGCTACAGCCCGCCACCGGCCCTGCTACAGCCCACCACCGGCCCTGCTACAGCCGCCACCGGCCACTGCTACAGCCCGCCGCCGGCCCTGCTACAGCCCGCCGCCGTCCCTGCTACAGCCCGCCACCGGCCTCTGCTACAGCCCACCACCGGCCCTGCTGCAGCCCGCCTTGCTGCACGTGAGCAGCCCCAGCAGCCCGCGCCGCCCGTGAGCCCCTACGCCACCCGAGCCGCGCGAGACGCCCGAGCCGCCCGAGCCGCCCGAGCCGCCCGAGCCGCCCGAGCCGCACCGAGCCGCCCGAGCCGCACGAGCCACCCGAGCCGCCCGAGCCGCCTAGAGCACGCGAGCCACCTGGGGAGCCGTGCTGCTGTCCCTGAGCTGTGTTCCTCTGCTGCTGACCTACCCGACTCTTCCAGCCCGGTGAGACTTTCAGCTGCTGCCATGGCCACCCCCAATGTTCTTACTTTTGACGCTGAGGGGAGGGCCATTGACTTTGCCGTCTGGATTGAAGACCTGCAGCTGTACTTACTGTGTGATGCGAATAGATGAGGTCTCTCTCTTTGACTTTGTCTCTGGCGCTGTCCCTGCCCCAGCCTGCTGATGCTGACTCTGCCGTTCGCATCCAAGTGGGCGACCCGCGATGCTGCTGCACGTCTTGCTGTGCGTCGCCACCTCCCTTCCTCTGAGCGTGCCCACTTTAGTCAGTGCAAGACCGCTCAGGCCTTGTACGACGCTGTAGTTGCACGCTACTCCTCCCCTTCCTCCGCTACCCTTAGCCGCCTCATGCTACCGTTTCTCTTCCCTGACCTCGCTTCCTTTCCCACTGTCGCTGACCTCGTTACCCACCTCCGCGCTAGTGACACCCGCTACCCGCGCTGCCCTTCCTGCTGAGTTCCGCGCTGCGAACCCTCCTCCCATGTATATCACTCTCTACTTTCTCGTCACCCGTCTCCCTGAGTCCCTTCGTGTCGTTAGGGACCAGTTTCTCTCTGTCTGTCCCACCACTCCTCACTGTCGACCTCCTTGAGGAGTCCCTGCTAGCGGCTGAGAAGAGTATTAGTCGCTGTAGGGGCCTCTCGGGGTGACCCTCGCACCCCCATCTTTGAGGGGTGTGGTCCTTCCCCCCTGCTGCCCTCTGTCGCCTCTGCCGCTGCGGAGCCGACCTCGCTGGTTTTGAGTCGGTCGGCGCGGCGTCTGCCCCCAGCGGCAGACGCCGCTCTGGCAAGGGCAAGGGGGGCAAGGGAGCGGGTGGAGCTAGAGGGGGCGGTGGAGGAGGCGGTGGGGGTGGCGGGGGGAGTGGGGGTGGCGGTGGGGGTGGTGGCGGGAGTGGAGGTACTAGTGGCGGCGGTGGAGGCGGAGGTGGCGGCGGAGGTGGTAGCGGAGGAGGCGGTGGGAGCGGTGGGAGCGACGGTCCTGGTGGGGGAGGTGGCGGTGGAGACGGGGGTGGCGGTGGAGGCGGGGGTGGCGTGGAGGCGGGGGTCGGAGTGGCTCGTCCCAGCGGAGCAGCTCTGGGGGTGGTCAGCGCCAGCAGCAAGCAGCAGCAGCAAGCCGCAGCAGCAGCCACAGCAGCAGCAGCGCTCAGTCGCACCGTCCCCGGCCCCTCAGCAGCTCCGTGAGTGGTACTATGCAGCGTCAGCGTGTGGTGCGCTTGGTCCCGTGCCCCTACGTTCTTCGCACCGGTGACCGTGCAGGGGGAGAGGTGTGGAGGCGCCCACACAGCCCGTCGCTGCTTTGGCCGCCTGACCGACGCCTGGCGTCAGCAGTTTCCGGAGGCCGCTGAGATCCCCCGCTGGGGAGAGCTGTCTAGGGCTGGAGTAGCTATTTATGATCTTGATTTGATGCTATTCTCTCTGCTATGTATGCTGCGATTGTAGTGATGAGGATGACTGTTACCGGTGTTTCCCGCCCGACCCGGGCATTGGTACTGCCGCGTCAGGTACTAGTGAGGCTGCTGCTCTAGGTGCCAGTGCGTCTGTGCTCTCAGGTGCTGGTGAGTCTGCCCTCTCAGGTACTGTGTCGGCTTCGGCCTCTCACACCTTCACCCTTGACTCTGGAGCGTCTCGCTCCTTCTTTAGGGACCGCACCACTCTCACGCCGCTGAGTCGGCCGGTTGCGGTGTCCCTGGCTGACCCCTCTGGGGGGCCTGTCCTGGCTCGCTTCTCCACTGTCCTCCCGTGTCCGGCGGCCCCCTCTGGCACCCTGACTGGTCTCTACCTCCCCTCGTTCTCGACGAACTTGGTGAGTGGTGCTGACCTCCAGGATGCGGGTGTCCACCAGTTCACCCCTGCTCGTCAAGCGGGTGACCCACTGCACGGAGGCGGATACAGGTCGCCACCTGGCTACGTTTACACGTCGGCCAGGGTCGAGCCTGTACACACTGACCACTGCTTCTCCTCCAGGTGCTGAGTCTGGTAGGGTCCCTTCGTCTGGTCAGGTGTTTGCTGCAGCGTCCAGGTCTGGTCCTGAGTCTGCCCCCTGCTCGTGTCGTCGTCTGTCTCACGAGACCCTCCTCTGGCACCACCGCCTTGGCCACCCCTCTCTGCTTCGGCTCAGAGGCATGGCCTCGCGAGTCCTTGTGTCTGGTCTTCCCCGGTCTCTCCCTCCCCTTCCTCCAGGGCCCTGGCCCCACCTGTGTCCCCTGTGTCGAGGGGCGCCAGCGTGCTGCCCCTCACTCCTCCCAGTTTCCTCCGACAGAGGCCCCGTTGCAGACGCTTCACATGGACGTGTGGGGCCCAGCCCGCGTCCGTGGACAGGGTCAGGAGCGCTACTTCCTGCTGGTGGTTGACGACTACTCGCGTTACACCACAGTCTTCCCCTTGCGCAGCAAGGGTGAGGTCACTGAGGTGTTGATCGACTGGATCCGCGCAGCTCGTCTCCAGCTTCGGAGGAGCTTTGGCTCTGACTTCCCTGTTTTGCGTCTGCACTCGGACAGAGGCGGAGAGTTCTCCTCTGGCCTCCTGAGTGCCTACTGTCGTGCGCGAGGCAATCCGTCAGACCTTCACGCTTCCGGACTCACCAGCAGCAGAATGGGATTGCTGAGCGCCGCATTGGCATGGTCATGGACGTCGCTCGTACGTCCATGATGCATGCGGCTGCTCCCCATTTTCTGTGGCCGTTTGCGGTCAGGTACGCTGCGCACCAGATCAACCTCCACCCCAGGGTCTCTCGACCGGAGACCTCCCCAGCCCTGCTGTGGACGGGGAAGGTTGGCGATGCGTCGGCGTTCCGGGTCTGGGGATCTCGGGCGTTTGTTCGCGACCTGTCTGCGGACAAGCTGTCCCCTCGTGCTTCTCCCTGCGTCTTCCTGGGGTTCCCCCCCGACGCCCCTGGGTGGCAGTTTTACCACCCCACCTCTCGACGTGTTCTGTCCTCCCAGGACGTCACGTTCGACGAGTCGGTACCCTACTACCGCCTCTTCCCCTACCGCACTCCGTCCCTCCCCCCACCCCCGCTCTTCTTGGTACCAGGAGTCCCCCCCCGGTAGTCCCCCTCCCCCCTCAGGGTCCTGCCCCTTCAGGTGTGTCCCAGGTAGACGCGTCGAGCCTGTCGAGGTCACTGTGACTCTGGTGCTGCTGCGGGAGCTGAGCCTGGGGGTGCGGAGTCTGGGGGTGCTGAGCCTGGAGGTGCCGAGTCCTGGGGGTGCTGAGCCTGGGGGGTGCTGAGCCTGGGGGTGCTGTGCCTGGGGGTGCTGAGCCTGGGGTGATGGGCCTGGGGTGCTGAGCCTGGGAGGTGCTGGCCTGGGGGTGCTGTGTCTAGGGGTGCTGAGCCTGGAGGTGCTGTGCCTGGGGGTGCTTCCTTCTCGCCGGGAGCCACTCTCCCCACAGGAGCTGCGTGAGTGGTTTGCCAGGCGCTGAGGCGTGCTGCTGGTGCTGGTGGTTCTTCGGCTGCAGAGGGGCACTGCTGCTGCGCGCCCCGCCGGTGCTCGTACTGTGGGTGCTGGAGCTGCTGAGTCTGAGAGTTCTCCTGGAGCTGGTCCTGCTGAGGGTGTTGGCGCTGAGCCTGCCGTTGGCGGTCCGACTGACAGTGCTCCTGGTGCTGCGGCTGGAGGTTCTGGAGCTTCTGGTGGTGCTGCTGGAGGTGCTGCTGGAGTGGGGTGCTCCTGCCGGGGCTGCTGGTGCTGTTCCTGCTGTTTCTAGCGTCGCCGCGCGGCCCCGACCGTACTTCGTTCCGCTCCTGCAGCAGGTTCTTGGTCTTACACCTCCTCCTCCTCCCTTAGAGGGTCCGCAGCCTGTCCGGTCACAGCCACAGCTACAGCCTGCCTCCCCTTTGCCTGCTCCTTCTCCCTACGCTGGTCCGACTGGAGGTCTTACTGAGCGTCGTGAGCCTGCGTCTCGTCCTGTGTCGCCTGTTCGTACTGAGCGCGCTAGTGGTCGCGGGTCGCGTCAGCGTCCTCCTCCTGTCCCTGGCACGCACCGGATGTCACTTGCGTCCGTCCACTGCTCCTCTGCGTGCCCCTTTGCCTTCTCCTCCTGCTTCCTCTCTTCCTGCTCTTGCCGACCCGGAGTCGGACGCTCTTCGTGCTGCCAGTCCTACTGTCACGCGTCTCCTGGCTACTGCTGTCACTGACCCCTCCTTCGAGTCGTCTGCTGCGTCTGCCCTTGTCACTGAGCTTGTCGACTTTGCTGCGCGCTGTCGTCTAGACTACGCTGCTCGTCTTGTCACTGAGTCTGAGTCCGCCTGTCCTCCGTCCGTCGGGGGTGAGTGTGCCCTTGGCACGGACGTCCTTGAGGACAGGCAGGAGGAGTTCCAGTGTCTGGCCGCCGCTTCACCTCGTCTCGCGTCTGTACTGCTAGCCCCTGAGGGAGACCCGGATGCACCAGACATCCCGACTCCGCGCTCTTACGCGGAGGCGATAGAGGGTCCCTACTCCTCTCAGTGGCAGGCAGCTATGGATGCAGAGATGGCTTCCTGGAAGTCCACAGGCACCTACGTTGACGCTGTTCCCCCCTCCTGGGGCGAACATCGTCAGTGGCATGTGGATTTTCAGGGTGAAGCGGCCGCCGGGTTCTCCGCCTGTCTTCAAGGCGCGTTACGTGGCTCGTGGCTTCAGTCAGCGGCAGGGGGTTGACTACTTTCAGACCTTCTCCCCCACCCCGAAGATGACCACGTCTTCGGGTTCTGCTACACGTTGCTGCTCACCGTGACTACGAGCTGCACTCTCTCGACTTCAGCACAGCTTTCTTGCAGGGCAGCCTGCACGAGGAGATCTGGCTGCGTCGCCCACCTGGCTTCACTGGGTCTTTCCCTCCTGGTACCCAGTGGAGTCCCGGCGTCCAGTCTACGGTCTCCGCCAGGCGCCACGTGAGTGGCACGACACACTGAGGACTACGCTCGCGGCACTTGGGTTTGCTCCTTCCACTGCCGACCCGTCGCTGTTTCTGCGCACCGACACCTCTCTGCCGCCGTTCTACATCCTCGTGTACGTCGACGACTTGGTCTTTGCCACAGCTGACACTGCTGGACTCGCCTACGTGAAGTCCGAGCTGCAGAAGAGACACACGTGCACTGACCTGGGTGAACTGCGCAGCTACCTTGGCTTGCAGATCACCCGGGACAGAGCACGCCGCACCATTACCCTGACTCAGTCACACATGGTGCAGCAGGTCCTTCAGCGCTTCGGCTTCACGTACTCCTCGCCTCAGGCCACTCCTCTGCCTACTCGCCACTCGCTCTCAGCTCTGCCTTCGGATGAGTCCGTAGAGTCGAGTGGCCCGTTTGCAGAGCTTGTTGGCTGCCTCATGTACCTGATGACCTGCACACGACCTGACCTCGCATACCCTCTTAGCATTCTCGCACGCTATTGTTGCTCCTGGGAGACACCGACCAGAGCACATGGCTGCAGCGAAGAGGGTGTTGCGCTACTTGTGCAGTACGTCGGGCATGGGGCTAGTGCTTGGAGGGCGCAGTCCAGTGGTCCTCACTGGGCACGCAGACGCTTCTTGGGCTGACGACCAGGCTACGCAGCGGTCGTCACAGGGTTACACCTTCAGCCTTGGTTCCGGCTCTGTCTCGTGGCGGGCTACCCGCTCGTCTTCTGTTCTCGGCTCCAGTTGTGAGGCTGAGATCTACGCTGGGGCTATGGCTGCACAGGAGTTACGCTGGCTCACCTACCTGCTGACCGACCTTGGAGAGCAGCCTCGTTCTCCTCCAGTCCTGTACGTAGACAACAAGGCCATGCTGGCCTTGTGTCGAGAGCAGCGACTGGAGCACAGAACGAAGCACATTGCTCTTCGCTACTTTCTTGCTCGTGAGCTACAGCAGCGTGGACAGCTGCGACTTGCGTACGTGGCCTCTGAGGCCAACACTGCTGATGTCTTCACCAAGGCACTTGCGCCTTGTGATCATCAGCGTTGCTGCACGCAGTTGGGTCTTGTGCCTGTCTTGCCTCACTTGCTCTCCTCTTGACCTTGCTTGTACTTTCGCATATATATACTCTTGCTCTTGTATATCTCTATATATGATCTTGCATGTGAACTGGCCTTGTGGCCTTTGAACTTGTGCTCGGAATGCGTGGTGACTTTGTGATCCACCCTGAGCTTTGCTTTGCTTTGCTTGACTGGTCTTGTGACCCCTTGTTCTCCCCCACTTTGCCTATGGGGGTGTGTCAGAACTTATA